TGTCATTGCCACACCAGGTGCAGTTCCTTGGCTCTGGGGAGGCTTCCAGCTCCAGGAGTATCTTCAAGAACTCCCCCTTCTGTGGAACCCATTTGCAGATGTAATCATTCTGCATCTGACACACCATGTGAAGTCTGCTTTCAAGTTGGTGAACTGCTGTACACCTTTTTCTGCAGTAACATCAGTTGCTGGACCAGTGGGCTCATGCTTTCATGTCCACCAAAGGCTGAATCTGCCCATGCATCAAAGTACTTGTGGGAACAAGACCTTGAATGCTTGGATGGTGAGGATCAGGGAGAATGGACAGGGGTTGTTGGATCTGGCTGTTTGATTGTGACTTCTACCAATTGTGATCTATATCTACCTCTAGTTCTCCAAGTCTAGACTTCCAGCTGCTTCTCCTGATGGCCCAGGGTAGGACCAATCATTCTCTTACCATTTTGAGTGCTTCCCTTGGCCATCTGGAGATTGCTGATTTCACAGTATGAGGTCAGTTGTTAGAAATGCTACCACTAGAACAAGTCACTTTATCATTTAGCTCTATCGATGTTGGTACCTTAACACATGTCAGGGCATAAATACAAATGCAACTACACTGGCCTTGCACAATGCATGGTGCCTGCCTTCTTATTACCACTCAATCCCTGCCTGCACATTCCCTTCCTGCTGCAACATTACCTGGATGCTTTGCCTGGATTATGATGGTGAATTTGGATGCTATATTAGCTGATGAAGGTGAAATGAGTTGTTCAGTATCAATATAAGTATGGATATGATTGGGCAAGCCAACTGACAGCCCAGATGCAAACCCAGAGCTAATCCACCTTTGGGCAGGATCCTGTCAAAGAGATCAGCCTGATTGGATATTTTGGCCACTTCACAGAGCTCCCATCAAAGATATCAGCCTGAGTGGATATTTTGGTTGCTTCATGGAGGTCTGAACAAATTCCTTGGCATGACCACACTAGTACTGAAATGTGTTGAGACCAAACAAGGGTGCAAAAAAAACTTGGTAGCCAACCATCTATTATACATCATACCACATCATACTCCATGGAGTCCCAGTACAAATCAGATGCCTGGGATCAGATGGAAAGAGATGATGCAGATGGTGAGCAAGATATAGAACCATCAGATGTGGGGGAAAGGGAAGAAGAAACATATGAAGTGGAAGAGTTGGAGATCCTTGGGTGCCAATGCCAGGAATGGAGGCAAGCAGGGAAGAAGAAGAAGCCTGCAGTTCTGCTATCCATATGGGAGGAGATGCAGTGATTGGACAGGAATAAGGAGTTGAGAGGGAGCAAAGTTCAGACCAAGTGCAAGGTATGCTCTAAAAGTTCTGATTGGGATGCTCACAATTCAAAGCACCCTTGTAGTTAATACAAGATTGGTTGAAAAAGCCCCTCCATTCAAAGAAGCCCCACATTACCCTTAGATCCAGTTACAAATACTCTGTGTGGGCAGTGGTCCACAAATTGTACTAAGAGCAAATACAGGAGAAGCTTGCAGAAATGAAAGTAGAAGAAGGCAATACCCATGGAAGCAAGCAGATCCAACATTATCAGAATGCATTGACAGCTTTTATTCAGGACAACCTGACAGAGGAACAATTGGGTGCAGCTGAAGATATAGTGGAAAGGTGGAATGGGCAGGAAGGCCCTGCACCAGAGACAAATGCAAGGTGTGATTGTATCAGGTCAACTTCCCAGTCTTCAATTTATCCTGGTTCCCAGGAATGCAGCCAAGTATGGGTACAAGTATGTCTGAAACTTTGTGATGGAGATGTGGAGGTATTGCAGAATGCACATAGTATGTATTGCTGAGTGGACAAATGAGGAGGGAACTATACAGGCATGCATGTGAGTCCACCATATTCTCCTCTAGGCCTAGGTAAGACTCATGTAATGATAGTATGGACTTCAATAATGAAATCATGGATGGGATCCCCTTCAATGATGTCTCAAGTGTGGTCATGTTGAATCAGCTGTTATGGCTAACAAGTTTGCACTGTATGTTAAGCAGGCTCTGTCAGAATCAAGTGAGCCAGACATGAATCGACATTGACCTGGGGCCAAATACTTGTCCAAGTCCAACAATAATGGATCTGTGACTGCCAATGCAGCATCCATGAATGTGAAACAGGGTGTCCCTGGGAGCACCTGGAAGTCACCTCATGTCAGAAAGGCCCCTGCAAGGCCAGATGCAGATGTTCCATCTCCTGATGCAAAGAAATCATGCAAGCAAACAGGCAGCAATCAGAAGTGGAAGTAGTTGTTGAATCCCTCAAACAGGCAGAGTGGAAACCTTTTTTGGAACTCATGTATGGTCTATAGAGGGCTGAGCCTAGTGTGACATATTAGAATACAAGTGTATGGCATGTACAGTAGCTTATGACACCATGGTGGTTGTGAGAGGCATCTTTGATATCAGAGAGAGGGATAGTTAAGCAGGACAGTTGAGCAGGACAATTGAATGGAGAGCTAAGTGGGACAGGTCTATATATTGGCCATGTGGAAGCAACTGGTAGCTATCTATGTAGGGAGATATTGCTGCTCATCTCCCATGTATTGCTGTTACCCAAAATTTGGCTCCATCTGCCATTGTCCAACCTTGCTTCCCACAGTGTGAATGATATTCTCACCATTCTTCCTACAAGTTTAAATCTTGATTGATCATCAACCTATCAGTGAACCCATCATCATTGAATATGTCCACCAAACAGTCCCACCAAGTTCATTTCCATTGTCAAGGTGAGGTTGTCTTCATTGTTGGATCCAGTGACCTAAGCCATCCACAGCTGATGTAAGACCAATCAAGCCAAGGCAATCTAGCTCCCATGTGAAGCAGTCCAAAAATCTGGAGGAGATGCTAGTACAACTATGTGAGTTGTGAGAGCCAACCCCTCCACCAATTGTCTCAAGTGGAAGGGCAGATATAGTGGGGTTGAACATGGATATTGTGGCTGGTGAGTGAACATGATTTCTCTCCAAGCTCAACAACAAATGTTGTTTTGCTATAGATTCATGCAAAAGCTTGCTGGATCAGTTCCTGCAGGAAAGGGAGCCAACCACTCTGGCAGAGGGTGGAATCATGGCTGGTGAGTTGACATGTTTGCCCTTCAAGCTAATGAACAAACTAATTTTCTAGTAATAGGTCCACATGACAACTTGATGAATTGGTTCCTGAATGAATGGGAACAAACTGCTCCCCCAGCAGATGGTATGAACATGGATCTACTTGAGCAATTGCTGAATGCATGGGAACCATTGGCACTGCCAGTCATGCACAAGAAATTAAACAGGATGGACAGGTCTTCAACACCTGCACAAGATGTTACTATGCAGGTCAATTTTCTGGCAGACTTGCAGAATGTGCAGGAACCATCTCCTCTGCCCATCACCTGCAAATCATCAAATCTGAGGGACTGATCTCCTCAACCTGATTCTCTGACTAACCTGCTTGCTCAATTGCAGGATATGAAGGAACCAATGCCTCCCCCACTCATTTCAAATGTACCCATCAAATCTTTTGACTTGGCAGTGGATAAGGACAATGGTGCAAACCATTTGACTTTTGGCATGCCCAAACAATCAGAGATGAGGGATTTTTTTGAAGAAATATGCAATGGTGAGCATTTATTTGGTTCTATTCATATGATTGGTGATATCCATCAATTATGTAGGTGAACATCCATCCACACAGCAATCTCTTCAAATGGGACAATGGGGATTGGCACCTGTTTCATGTTGCAATCAAGGTATGGGCATGAGCTTAATCTGATACACTGTTGACATTGATAATTTTAGTCCTGTGCACCTTACATGCCATGGTATCTCACTATGGCAGAAACACCACTCCCAGCAACATGCCATTTGATCCCACCCTTGATAGGCACCTTGTGTGGGCTGTGAATGCCATTGCAAGAGAATTGGGCACAGCTACAAGGGACCAGTATGGTGCAGCCTCTCAGGGCCTTCAACTCATCAATATGCTTGATTTGATGGAAGTCATTCATTATCCACATTCCACCTTTGAAAATTGTCCCAAGCCATTCATCACCAGCCAATCACACCCATCTCACCAGTCTGTGGTAGAGGTGGGTATCCTCTACTTGGCATGCCAGATTGAGGTGGCCTCTGTACATCTGAAGCAGACTGCTGATGTTGTGGGATGGCCTGTGCATTGGTCTGCAAACCTAGCAACGGTCTTGGTAGGTTTTACATCAATTTTTCACAATGTAGGACTGATACATAATTCCTTCAGAATCAGCTTAATAGCTTGATTCTGGTGATGGTGTTGTGTGCCAGTTATACTCCTCCCCTCCCAGCATGCTACCATGTGTACCTCAGACACCAAGATGATGAGGTTAGCTTCTGTGATCAAATGCAGTTAATTCCCCTTAGTGCATTTTGCATAATTAACAATATCAGTGCAAGCATCCCACATTGGACCCCACATGCAGCTGATCCCAATTCCAGCTTTGCATTCCCTTGGTGGATATATTGTTCTGAGGAATATGCAGCAGATTCCCAACGATTGCAAGGCAAGGGATTGTTTTCCACTGCCTGGGATTTTTTTAAGGTATGCCACTTATTCTCATCACTGAAAATAGTTGATGATGGCCCAGGGCTTATGGCCATTGCCTGAGGTGCCAATTGCAGACTGTCTCAATGGCCATATTGAGGAGCAGGTAAACTACTGCATTGAAAATATTTAGAAATATGTTGATGTTGTCAATGGTCAGGGTCAACAAATTGACCATTTCTATGCTAGGTGGTGGGCATTGCATGGGTTGTTGGGCATGCCACTTCAATAGTTTACATGTTTTTGACTGTGGAGTTGGTTGTATATACATTGCTGTGAATGTCAATCATTTATGAGATACTGCCCATTTGCATGATGTCTGGACCCCTGCCCATCTGCATGATGTCTGACAATCTGCACATCTGCATGATGGCCTGAGTAGGTTTACTTTTGTTGCAGTTTATGATGCACACCCTTTAGCTCTGAGTACCCACCCAATCTATGATGTCAAAGCACCCACTCATTTGCAAAATCTTGGCAACACCACCTATCTGAAGTTCAAGAGCCAGCATATCCTAATAATATGCAAGATCCACATCACCTACTAAATCTAACATTAAATTTTGCAGCTTCAAATCAACAGTTCTCCAGTTGCAACTGGTCTAGGTAGTAGGTTGTCCACCCACAGTGATTGACACATGGGAATGTGCACTGACTGATGTACATTGGCATGCATGTAGTATGCCAGGCATGCTCTGTCACCATCTACAGCTCCCACCCCATGCTCCAATGCTGAACCTGAAAATGCAATGATCATCCCTGGGTTGTAGTGCAGCTGCAGATTCAATGTTGTAATGACAAAGTCCAAGGGTGGGTAGTCACCCATGGTTACCAGCATGTCATACCATGGATCTCATCCATTGATATCCCTGTGGTAACAAGTTGCCCAATTCACCATCACAGACATGTGGCCATATGTGGAGCTCCATATTGGCAGTATGGAGCTCATATCCAAATCCACCCACTGTTCCACCTGTTTGCCAAGGCAGATCAATGCTTCCCTGCCATCTGCATACATTTGCAGATGGATGACATGCAGGATTGCAGATAACAGGGCATTGTTGTTGGACATTTGGTCAACCCATTCCCTTGTAGACATGTTTTCCATCCCGGATTTGAGCAGCCATGAGGCTTCCAGGAAGCCATTTTGGGGCTTCAAGATGGATGAGCACTTTATTCACAAGGCAAGAAATGATCAACCACCCAATGACCCTGTTGAAACCATGTGGGTGACAGGTTCATGGCACCTCTCAACTCAGCATTATTGCAGAAATATGACTTGTCCATCCACCATGCCTGTGGGGAAGCCTTTATGCTCTCCCACAGTGGTTCCCTCAGAAGATGAAGGCAGCTCCATACATTGGCCTAGAATATGAGATTCTGCATTCCCTTACCCTTCTTTTTGGGCTGAGAGTGTCCAGCAAATACCAAACACAGATGGTGTTTGAGTCAGTCACCAGAATGGATGGCTCAGTCACTTTCACATATCTCTCAGCAGCTTCTGCATTGCAGGTTTTTCCACCCTGATTTTTCCTGACATTGACTGCAGAAAGATGAAAACTTCCATCACACCATTATGATGGACTTGGGCAATGATAGGCCTGTGAGATTACTGACAATATGTGATCTGCTTCACATAACACTGGAAATGGAATCAATATATCTGGAAGGGTGTAAAGTCCACTGAATACCTCCTCTTGAAATCTGGCTTTCATGTATGATGCAATGCAGTCTGTTAGTTCCATTCGCCACCCATGGGGGGTTTTAGATGTGTCTTGCATAGTATTCATGCTTGGGGTGGATGAGGTCAGAGTGGTAAAGTGGGTGAGCCACTTGCAGCTTGTTGGAAAATTACAGCATGTTGGGACACTTGCCTCAATATTTTACTGTGATCCAATCAATATGCTGTGATGCTATATGTGCTATTGGTGTTGGGCTGTCTTATGTTGTGACAGGGGTGGATCTTACTAGATGGACCTGTCCTTGTTTTATGGCAATATAAAAGATATTACTGAAGGGCCTGTTCATACATTATGACCATATAAGTAATACTGCTGAAGGGCCCATCCTCATGTTGTGACTTCATAAATGGTACTGCTGAAGGGCCCTTCCATATGTTGTGATGCCATAAATGATATTACTGATGGGCCCATCTTTATGTTGTGACAGGGGTGCATCTTACTAGATGGGCTTGTCTATGTGTTGTGACACTGTAAATGATATTACTGATGGGCCTGTCTTTATGTTGCAACAGGCGTACATGTTGCTATTGATGGGCCCATCCATGTGTTGTGACCATGTAATTGATATTACTGACAGGCCCATCTTATGTTGCAACAGGGGCATATCTAACTAGATGGGCCCATCCATCTGTTGTGACAATGTAATTGATAATACTGACTGGCCCATCTTTATGTTGCTCTCACTATAGGCCCTCAGGCCTGTCCATGTGTCATGGCTCATCTATTTAGATGGGCCCATCACAGGGTCTATATAAGTGTTGGCATTTTGGCATGCAGGCTACCTATATGTTGTGACTAAATGGACTACATGGGGTCACTGACTTCTTACTTGCCTGCATGCTAATTGCCTCCAGACAGACTGATATGTTCTCACAAATGTAGGTGACTGTTTTACTGCAGTTAATGTTACTCTCATTGACATTTCTAGTTCAAAATTCCAAGTTCCTGTGGAAAGCTTCCTACAGACATAGGTGTACCAGCTGGCAGCTCTTTGACCACTGACCAGTGGTTACTACTTGCAACTGTATATGGCATGATTGCAGTAAGTCATCTGCCAATGCAGGGTGTATGTGTAATCTAACAAAAGCAGATACCACAGCTATGGACCATTGGCCTGGCAAATATGCAACAAGATGGCTCTCTTGCTGACCATGTGGCACTGATCATCAAACAGGAATCTGAGGAAAAATTCAAGGAGATGAAGAAACAGTCAGATGCTCAGGCACTCAAAGACACATGTTCTTGAGGAAGAGAGGCTGTTGCTGCTGAGAAGGCTCACATAACTGCAGAGAAAGCCACTGCTGAGGAGGCCAAAAAGATAGAGAAGGTTAGACTTGCAGCAGAGAAGAAGGCCAAAAAGGCTCGAGATGCTGAGCTCAGGCAGGTGAGTGAGATTCTATTTTTTTTTGCTGTTTTCTAGTCACAACATGTGGGATTACAGCTTGCAAAATCAAAAGCAAACACAAGTCACATCCCTGGGGAGGGCGTTGCAGACACAACCATGGCAGACACACTGGATGAGAACCAACAAGATGACATAGATGGAAAATGCATTCTTCACCCCAATGATCCCCCCAATTTCCTCAAGCTATGTGCTGCCATCCACCTGTTAATTGGGAACTCAATCAGTGATCAGGAGATGTCAGCTGCAGATGCATATCTGTGAGAGTATTGCACAGAGCTCATCCAAGTAAGTTTTCATGTCATGGCAGATGTTCACTGCTGACATTTGACTAGCTGTATGGCTCAGGGTACTTGAAACTGAACCATCACTATGCAATGCACATGGCTCAATACATTCATAACTTTGGTCCACTAAGTGGGTTTTGGATGTTTCTTTTTGAGTGCCTTAACAAGATCCTCAAATCATTCAAAACAAACAATCATGGTGACAGAGAATTGGAGACCACATTTTTCAATGAGTTTCATAGGATGTGCCAGTTGAGCCAAATGGTAAGTAGTAGCTCATGTTTGATTTTCTAATGCTTTGTGTAGGTATACTCTCTCCAATGAAGACCTGAGGGTTCTTTGGGACACAAAGTATCCAAAATTATGCTGAAGGCCTCTGTCGAGGAGCAGGGAACTGTCACAGCACTGGCTGCACTTTCAAACGACCTTCATGAAGCACATGGTGAAGGTACATATGCCATGATACTTTCAATTTCTAATGGGCATTGATCACTCCAACTCAAAACAGGTCTGACCTACTGGCCTGAGTCCCTGCTGACACCTCAAGCCCTTGCCTCACAAAACATATGAGGCCTTAGCCCACATCATATGTTTACAGACACCAGAAACCCCCATCCATTGCCAGAATTGCCACCCAGTTGTTGCACATAGTATCCCCCTGGATTGTACAGCTACTTTCTTTGACTATGTGATTGTGGGTGGTAGGAGGTCTCATGCTTCACAAACCTTGGGATCAAGAAACTTGTTGCTTGTTCACATTGCAATCCCACAGAGAAATGGACAGCCACCAGTGGACACTTATGGTGAACTGCTCAAGATATTCCACTTTAACCAGGACATTCATTTCCAGGGCAAGTCTGTGTATTTCCTTCATGCATGATGGTTTAAGTGTTGGAACAGTGATCAAGAAGACATGTGGGTAACAAGGTAGGTACAACTAATCACCTATTTATTTCCTGCTTACATTCCAATCTATGTAGTGAATGATGCATGGGCATGTGTTTGTGGGAGCTCAGGGAATATGTCAGTGCAGATACTCTGCCACCCACACTCATTGACCTGACCTGGATTCTCAATCATGTATCCCTCAAGATAGTAACAGTTGGCATTGATCACAAGACAGTATGGGCCACCATTGATTTGGTGAAGGCATGCTGCTGGTTTGACAGGAATATATAGCAGATTAGCTAACATGCAATATTAGAAGTAGGGAAGTGGGACAGACATACATCCATCATATTTCAAGAAAGGAGGATCATTTGTACTTTCTACAAGGTCAGATATCATCGTTGTCATTGGCAAGTTCTGCAGCCAATCCAGCAAGATATGTTGTGTCACTGTTGCTCAATTCACATCAGTAAACCACTTTATGTGCTGGCAGTCCTAGGGAATCTGTCCAGTGCTGGACAGCTCTGGCCAGCAAAAGTGATTTACTGATGCACCCTCCTTGGCACATGAGTAGAACCCCTTCAGCCAGTCCATACCATCTATGACCTGCTGACTTGGATGTGCAGTAAGCCAGGCATCATTTATCATCATCTTGAAAGGTATCATTGGTGTAGCCTTGTTGGAGTGAGGAGGCCTGTCCTCCAATTTGGACAGATTAGGGCCAAAGCTTGGTGTGAAGTTGTCCCATTTCTTCATGGTTTTGCAACTTTTTTTGACAGGCTCACTTGTAGGATGATCCATGCCAGAGATGCCCTCTCTTCTTTCTTGCCATTGCTTGTGTATGGAGTCGAGGATATGAAGAAATGCAACATACTACAAATGCCACAAGTAAACATGTGATCTCGACCATCCATAGCACACAGGTGAACAGGACTTACATCAAGTGACCACCAAGTCAACCCAACCCTTTTCCATGCTTTGGGAGGTACATCCTGCTCCCTTTGTCACCTGTTGGAGTCTGGACTCCAACCCTCTTCACCAACAGAATAATGATTGGAACCAAAGGCAGAATCAAGCATGGTGTCTGCCCCTTGGACATCATATTTCCTTTTGAATTTTCTCACAGCTTCTTGTTGACAATCAGTCAGCTTAACATGTGTATGTCAGCCCAATTTGATGCATTTCTAAGTGCTTATGCCCAGATACCTGTGACCACCTAGTTTGATGATGCTTTTCCCTAAGTCTTCCATCAACCTTCTCCTGCTTTGTTGGATTGGCAGCAGCACAAATTTCAGACATGAGTGTCCTCCAGTATTGCTTTGCCATCATCTTGACAGTAGAAGAGACATGATCATCATCTTCCAGCTCCCCTTTGCTCTGGGCATGTTTGGCCTGGTCAGAAAGTCAGTAAGTAGCCTACCATCTTGACCATTGAACTGACCATTTCCTCTTGCATGATGGCATCCACCACAGCTCCAAGGAACCTTTGATTGACCATGTTGTCAACATGCTCAGACCAGACAGGCCTCCAAACAGTGCAGTCTTCAATGTCCTCCAACTCCATCTGGTCAGGAAGCCCATTTATGTGTTTGCTCATCATCAACAAACAATCTTCCATGTTCAACCTCCTGATGCCACACATTTCTAGCATCTGACAATGAAGTATAGGCTATTTATTGAGTCACTCAAAAACTTTCTTAATGCAGCATGATCCATTAAACTAACCTTTAATTTAGGATGTTGATTCAATATATTTTTCATGGCACCTGCTCTCTTGGTCTGCTTGCTGGAGAATGTCAAGAGTTCCTCTCAGAGCTCAGAAATGGTGGCCTCATTCTTGTCAATGCACTGCGTAAGTCCTTGTCAAGTTTCTATGTTCATGGCATGTAGTTCTGATAATTGTATACTCATCTTCTTGATTTCTTCAGCATCTTGTTTCCCAAAGACATCCATACAGGATGTATCTAGATAGGTCATATATTCAAATCAAATCTCAAGGTGGAATATCTTCATGCAATATCTGTCTGGACTGGGAATATATGAACTGGCATATACATGCACTTCCAGACACATGTAATGACATATATGCTCACAACAGGCAGACAAGCTGTCCTGACCCAGGCAGAGTATGTAGGTTCAGGGTTGACCCCATGTAGTCAGCTTAGTCACAACATATGGGTAGCCTGCATGCCAAATTACCATCACTCATGTAGAGCCTGATGTGGGCCCATCAAATTAATTAAGTCATAACATATGAAGAGGCTCAGAAGCCCAGAGTGACAGCAGGAAATGAGCAGGCCCATGACAAGTATATTACAAGAGTCAATCCATTGCAACTTATTGGCAGGCCCATCATGCATACAGTGTGTGTGCCACAACCTGTGGACAGGCCTGTCTGAAGCATGCTGCACCCATCAAAACTGATAGTCAGGCCCATCGAAAGGATAAAGCACTGGTTGGAAAATATGGGCAGGCCCATTGCTAATATGGCAGATGATGTGACATCTGATTGACAGGCCCATCCAAGGGATGTTCTACCCATCTAATCTTATGGGCAGGCCTGTCGGGAAAATATCAGATGATGTTACACCCAAGGGCAGGTCAGTGGGAGGGGTGCAATAGCTATAAGAAGATATGGGTAGGCCCCAGATCTTATGTGCAGGCCTGCCATGTATATCATGGATGGGGTCACAACCCATGGGTGGGCCTGGGGAATGGATGCAACATCCATGGGAACATATGGGCAGGCCTGTGATGTATGCATTGGATGGGGTCTCAACCCATGGATGGGCCCATCCATGGGAGGATCCATGCAACAAATCTTATGGGCAGGCCCATTGGGTATATAGTGGATGATGTGGTAACACAAGGATGGGCCCATAGAAGGGGTGTGGCATGTACACTAACATATGTCAGGCCTGCCATGTATATAACAGATGAGGTCTCAACTGGTGGATGGGCCCAGCCATGGGATGATCCATGTGACAAATCTTATGGGCAGGCCTGTTGGGTATATTGTGGATGATGTGGTAACACAAGGATGGACCCATAGAACTAACATATGTCAGGCCTTCCATGTATATAACTGATGAGGTCTCAACTGGTGGATGGGCCCAGCCATGGGATGATCCATGTGACAAATCTCATGGGCAGGCCTGTTGGGTATATTGCAGATCATGTGGTAACACGAGGACAGGCCTGTAGAAGGGGTGTGACATGTACACTAACATATGTCAGGCCTGCCAGGTATATAATGGATGAGGTCTCAACCAATGGATGGGCCCAACCATGGGATGATCCATGCAACAAATCTTATTGGCAGGCCCATCAGGTATATAGCAGATGATGTGGTAACATGAGGACAGGCCCATAGAAAGGGTGCAGCATGTATATTAACATATGGCAGGCCCACCAGGTATATAATGGATGAGGTCTCAACCAATGGATGGGCCCATCCATGGGAAGAGCCATCCAACAAATCTTATGGGCAGGCCCATTGGGTAAATATTGGATAATGTTGTAATACAAGAACAGGCCTGTCCATGGGATGTTCCATCCAAAAAATCATATGGGAAGGCCTGACAGTTGTATCTCAGACTGGGTCAAAACCCATGGATGGGCCTGTCCATGGTCAATTCCATCCAACAAATGTTATGGGAGGGCCAATCATGTCAATAGTGGATGGTGTCCAAAATCAGGGACAGGCCCATTGAAGAGATACAATTTTGATTGGATGATATGCACAGGCCTGTCAAATTTATGTCAGATGAGGTGACAACCCACAGAAGCACCTGTCCAAGTAATGTTGTGTGCATGAAATGTTATGGGTGGGTCTGTCAGGTAGATATCAGATGACATCACAAACCACAGATGGGCCAATAGAAGGAAGATTGCACCAGTTGCAACCAATGGGCAGGGCCTCAGGTATATATCCGATCCAATCAAAAGCAATCAACAGGTCAGTCCATGGGTTGGTCCACCAGTCAAACCCAATGGCCAACTGTGTCACATATGTGGTGGATTCCTCCCTGCTCTGCTGACAGGCATCTCCAAGAAGGTTGGGCAAGGAAAAACCAAGATGGAAGACAGGCTCATCATCAATATGGCACCTGTCATCACAACCCATGGAGGGGTCCACCATTGCTATCATAAATCATAGCAAAGTACACAAACAACCAGTAGAGGAAATGTATCCTGCCTATGTCATTGCTGAATTGTTGCAGTATTGAGTGTGGCCTCCAGAAATCATATCTGATCTGATTTGTGAGCTGCAATTGAAGGTGCAATATTAATACACCATTGATAGCTTCAACTGCCTTTCCAGGCAGTTGACCACATATCAGGTGCCAACTCATGTCATAAGTTGAAAATTTTGCAAATGCAGCATCAGTACTCTTGCATCTCAGGATTTCCATCAGGCCATCTGCCTCTTGTCTGAAATCAAATGGCTGCCATGCAACATCCTGCCAACACCTCCAATGATTGGCAAATGCATCTAACAGACTCCATCTGCCAGTACATGATGGCCAGGCTGCATGAAGAGATAGTGGATGGCCCATGTGCCCTCCTGGCAATATCCATTCCAATGCAAATAGCTTGCAAGGCAGACCACATTGCAGCTGTGTCATGACCATGACACCAACATAAGCCCCTAACACCTACTCCGCCCTCTTCCAACATGTTCCTGTGCTTCTCTGCCCTCTTCTGACAGATTCCCATGCCCCTCTGACCCTCCCAACACCTCTCCAAGGCCCCTGTCCATGTTCCAACCAACTCCACTCAACTCTGCCCTCAGGCTGGTCACATGGAGACCAGACCTTCATCTGTGCCTCCTCCAAGGCCTTGGTCAGCCCAGTGGGCTGTTGGACTTGCAGCCCTGCATTCCAGATAGGATGCTGCCCTCATGTCAGTTTTTCTCCATTCTTCCACTCCTTCAGTATTTACCCTCTCTCCCTCATTGTAGTAGTCTCCTTGTCTCAGTTAAGGCCCCTGTCATCCCTACCCTCTATCCCTTGTGTCAGAGGGACTGCTAACCAGTTATATGCTTATTGGTTTGCATTTTACACTGCACTGCCCTTGATTTACATCATATATAAGGCCATGCACTGCTCCACATATCTCCCTCATCAGAGCTGCAGCCTTTGTCTGTGCCTGTGCCCTTCCTGGCCCTGCACAGTTCCACTTGCACCTCTGCCCTGAAGATATGAAACTCCAAGCCTCTCTGATGCCCTCCACACCTCATGATCTCTCTGTGGTACCCTCTGACTACCATGAGTTCACTGATGTCTTTAGTAAAGCAAAGGCTACTGAACTCCCTCCACACCACAGCTTTGATTTAAATATAGATCTCAAAGAAGGGGTTTCTCCACCTCTAGGCACTGTCTACTCCCTCTCTCTGCCCCAGCTAGAGGTGCTCCACACCTTCATAGATGAGCACCTCAACTATGGTTTCATTAAACAGTCAACCTCCACCCATGGTGCTCCCATCCTCTTCATTAAGAAGAAAGATGGCTCACTCTGCCTCTGCATGGATTACTGAGGGCTCAACAAAATCACCAACAAAGACCACTACCTGCTCCCTCTCATCTCTGACTTGCTTGATTCATTCCACCAAGACTCAGTCAAGTACCTCAGCTATGTCCTCTCCCCATCCAGTCTGACCATGTCCACTGGGAAGGTCCAGTCCATTCATGATTGGCATGAACCATGCAAGGTTAAAGACATCCAGTCCTTTCTTGGGTTTGTGAATTTCTATTGTCAGTTCATTAGTAACTACTCTGACATAGTTGTTCTGCTCACCCACCTCACTTGGAAGGGTGCTCCTTGGAGCTTCTGCAAAGAGTGCTGCTCCACTTTCCTCTGCCTTAAGATTTCCTTCACCTCCACTCCAATCCTTACTCACCAGGTGCCTGATGCCCCTGTCACAGTTGAGACCAATGCATTGGACTATGCCATCACAGGTATCCTCTCAATCACCTGTTCTGATGGTGAACTCTGCCCTGTTGCTTTTACTCCTGCACACTCACTGCTCCAGAGCTCAACTATGACACTCATGATAAGGAGTTGTTGGCAATTTTTGAGGTCTTCTGCCACTGGCAACATTACTTGGAAGGCTCTGCCACTCCTGCTGACATGGTGACTGACCATAAAAACTTGGAGTATTTCTCCACCTCTAAGGTCCTAATCTGCTGTCAGGCTTGTTGGTTGGAGTACCTCTCCCAGTTCAATCTAGCCATCTGATTCTGCCCTGGCCACCTTGCAGCCAAGCCTGATGCACTTACCTGCCACTGGGATGTTTACCCAAAAGAGGGGGATAAGGACTATGTGCAGGTAAACCCTCATAACCTCTGCCCTGTGTTTACCCAGGAACAGTTCACTTTGTCCCTCTGTACTACCTACCTCTTGGCCCCTGTGCTCTGAGCCACCATGATCTTCAATGTTGAGCAGCTCCATGCCAACATCATCTCTGCACTGCCCTCTGACCCCATCTCCACTTCCCATCTCCCAACTCCAACAGGCCTCCACTGGTCATTGGACCATGAGGGTCTCCTCCACCTTGATGGCCACATCTTTGTCCCTGAGATTGATGGCTTCTGCCTCTGAGTGCTTTGGTTTAAACATGACCATCTGCTTGCAGGTCACTTTGGGCAGAGCCACACTGTAGAGCTTGTTTGCTGCAAGTATGTATGGCCTAACCTCTGCACTGATGTAAAAAACTATGTCAGGTCCTGCACCACTTGTGGTCACAGCAAGGTCCCACATCACTGCCCCTTCAGCCTACTGAAGCAGCTTCCTGTCCCTGAGAAGCCATGGAACTCCATCCCCATGGATTTCATCAAGCATCTCCCCAACTCTGCAGGCTACTCCACCATCTTGGTTGTTGTAGACTGCCTTTCTAAACAGACTGTTCATTCTGACCCATGACTCCATCACCTCTGCTGACCTAGCAAAACTCTTCCTTGCCCATGTCTTTTCCAAGCATGGAGTCCCTGCTCATGTCACCTCCAACAGGGGTCCAGAATTTGTGTCACCCCTCTTCCACTCCCTTGTAAAGGCCTTAGATATGTGCCTTCATTTTACATCAGGCTACCACCCAGAAGGTGATGGCCAAACAGAGCACATGAATCAGACCCTCAAGCAGTACCTCTGCAACTACTGCAACTATCAGCAAGACAATTGGTCAGAGTTACTCCCACTTGCAGAGTTTGCTTGTAATAATGCACTGAGTGCTACTACTGGAATCTCTCCCTTTTTTGCTAATAAGGGTTACCACCCAAACTTGTTGGTTTACTCTGACCACAATCTCACCTCTCCAAAGGCCCATAACTATGTTGTGGAGCTTTCCACCCTGCATGACTTCCTCCACACTGAGATGGCTGCAACTCAACTCTGCTATCAAGGTCCAGCTGATGCTAGACACATTCCACCAGAGTTCAAAGTCAGTGACAAGGCTTATGTCTCAGTACAAATATCAAATAAAGTCCCCACTTCTGACTCCCTCTGAGTCTACTCCACCTCTGACATATGAGGGCTGAGCTTGTGCAAGGGGGCAGCACACTAGCTGAACTGAATGCCCTCTCATCTGACCTCTGACCTCCAACTCTGTCCTCTGCCTCTGAAACTTTCCTCCATACCCCTCTGCTCACTATTCATTGAATATCTCACCACCCAGTGGTCAGATTTGCTTTGGACTTTGACTGCTGTACTCTGCAGCCCAACACACTCCTACTCTGCCCTAAGAGGAAGTCAGGGGTGTTGTGCAACCTTGACAAGCTGTCATCATACAAGCATATTGAGAATGTGATGAGTACACAAGGTCCACCAAATGAAAAGTGGTTAAAAGCATCAACAAGTGACCCACAACATAAAGCAGGGTGTTCAGACAGACCCAGCCCATTCAAACTATATGGAAATTACATGTCCTACAGTGGTGATTGGCCATGAGGGCAGCATCCTGCTATGGTATCTTCCAAATGCCATCAGCCAAGCCTATCAGGTTGACCTTCTGAATTTTGGATTGCTTGCAATGCTAACATGGGGAGCAGTCAGAAGTTTGGAATTCTCTTGGACTGCTCAGCATTCCACTTCAATGTAGCCTGAAGTCAAATGGAATGGGAGGATGGCAGAACAATGGGGAAAACTTTCACAATAATGCAAATCTTAAAGGCACCATCAACCTCTCACCCACATGGTTTCAACAAGGGTGTGGGGTAGGGCATACCCTATTCACACATGGCTCAGGCTGAAATGCAGTTTCAAGCCAAGCAATGATGCACATCACCCCAAAGCATCACTACTCTTACAGTCAACACCACAATTGAAGGAGGTATGTGAATGGCTGCAGTGCATGGCTGGGCTACAAGCTGTCCTATTGGGTGCACTGTGTATCATGCACCCAAAAATGTACCTGCATGGATGGGAGGCAATCACACAACTCAGATCAAAGGCTGCCACATGGCAGGATGAAGATATGGAGGCTGTCTTGCCAATGTGGAAGTTGGTCTACAGTTCCATGTCAGTAATGGTGAATCACACCTCACCTGCACATAAAGATATGAATGGCCAGAAGGTATGGCTGGATACCTTGCTTACTGTCAGCAACTATCTGTGGCTCCACTTCTTGTTCCTGGAGCTCAGAATATGGCTGCAGTACAATCTGGGCACCATAATTGCACTTGCAGGTTCAGCATTGGTTCACCAAGTTGACAGTGTAGATGGTGATCAGGAATGCCTGGCATATTACATGTGAGAGAATGTCCATCAATATGTTCAAGTCCCACTATGTGAGAGGCTACACATATCAGACATAGCAATGGATTTGTGGGCAGTGCAGACATAAAGACATAGACATATTAATTTATTGACACATATTGAAAGATGATTCTCAATGTTTGGGGTCATCATTGTGCTGAAGTCATGGTTCATTGCATATTGATCTCTGTCATGCCAGGTGCAGCAGGAGATGATTATATCGACTCTACACAAGTACACAATTCATGTCTAGCCCCATTGGTGTACAATCCCAACATCTGTGCCATGCATGTCAACCACTCAAATAATTCTTCTACTTGTGCATTAAGGTCAGGGAGTAGTGCCTCTACTCTGCATGCATTGTTCTTGTAACTCTCCACCCACAATTCCAATGTCCCATGGAGGTGATCCTTGATGGGAGACTTGTCCAATGGCCAAAAATCCTAAGTGTATTATCAGTATGCCCTGCCTATGAGAGTTGAAATTTGGAGCTTGTACCCTGA